ATATATATATATATATATATACACACACACACACACACAGTATATCTGAATTGTGGAGTTTTTTATTTTACAAATGAGAGCCAAATGGAGTTTACACTTCRTTTGCATATTGACTTTATTATCACACATATCTGCGTACAGTGGAAAGCATTTTTGTTGTTGTTGAAAACRTCATATTTAGCCATTTTTTGTTACATATTTTATCATTCTTATTCTGTTACACTGTTTTACATTGTAGTAGTTAATTAAAAAATGTTTGCATTCCTGTGTTTTATCATATACCAAAAGTTAAAATCTGTAAATTATTAAATAATCGCGACATTCCAAGTGAAAAGTCTCTCGGCGATACTGTCCCTGTATTTACTTGAAAGACGATCGATACCTAAATTCCTAGTATCGCTCTGTCCTAATTTCACCTGTGAGAGGTTCTCATGTGCGAAATATCAGKTTTGGAATGTTCCACTGTAGTGGATAAAAAGGGGGTGGTTGGAGGAAAAATTAAACAAGGATTTTCTCTGGTAAAGTCTGACACGCGAATTGTAAAGTATATATTTATGTGTCAGGTTTATTTTATGAAGGCTTTCGTCACTTTGACGTTTTTCTTTTTTTTCTTTTGTTTTTCGAGGGGTCTCGTTTGAAGCGTTCACCCCCATTCGGATTGTACCGGCCGAAAAAGAAAGTCCCGTTATACAGCGTGGCGCCATCAGACTCCAAAATGTGCTGTTAATTCACCGAGACTAATCATTTTCACACTTAATATAACTGTTTACTTTAAATTTTTACAACCGTAACATGCTGCTCATTTAAACTGAGACATTTCTCAGCAACCATCTTCCTCTGTAGTCCATCAGCAGAGGCTGAAATTTCCTTATTTATAAGACAAACTGAGGAAAAGCTGTGGATTCAAGCAAGCTAGCTTTACCCTCAAACCTGTTTTTTTTAATGGTTTTGGACCTGGAGCGATCCAGTCTGTGGGAGACCAGACCTGAATCTGTTCTTYAGCTTCCATCAGTGAACGAACAACGTGTGGATTTCGCCGCTGACTCACAACATCACGGTTAGTGTTGTTAGTGGTAAGTGTTCTTCCCACGCAGAAACATCAGACTCGACAGAAAGAAGTCCTTTTTTCTTAACCCGTCTCATAAAATGTGATGCAGCTGCGTCCTCCACACAGAGMCAGGCCAAGGCTAGGAACCATTTATCCATGGTTTGTTTGTTGCAAACCGGGGTGTCTTTTTTTTGTCACCCCGGGGTAGCGTGGGGAGGGACATGGACACCCATAACACGTTTGAGTACTGTATCCCCCTCYTCACAATTGTTTTGTATTAATAATGTAATGCAGGGCTATTCAACAGTTTTCTACTTTATTTACTCTAAGTTCATTTAGTTAAACAYAGACATGTTTGRTATYYACAGAAACGTCAGGATCTTKGCTASAAGCTGGTACAAACCATTTCTGTGAACACCCAAGAATGTTAAAACAACAACTGGTTGAAGATAAAATGATGAAAGTGAAAATAAAACTGGTTTAAAAATTTGGGAAGTCAGAGATATCTAAATATTACGTGTTAAATAGGAGGCATTTTGTTTTTGTTTGTTTTTSACATTGTTTTWTTATCACTTCTTTTATTATAGGGTTTTGTATGTTGTAATCATGGTTRAATGCAGCAAAATAAACKAATTAAAAGGTAACAGATCTTTGTAATACTTGGTTTATTTACATAATGACTTTAATAGCTGTGATGTTGGCCAGCAGTGATTGTGGCCCCCAGGGAAATTTAGTTGAATAGCCCTGTTATAATGTTTTGGATTGACTGCATTAAATGGGACTTTTCATTTTAAATATCCAGCTATGATGGTGCACATACAAATTTATTAATAAATATAAGGCAAAACCCTAATGAACAACKTTTGTGAGGTAACGCAAAACATTTGCATAGGAATTTAAAAAGTATTACAAGGTAATTCTAAAGAAAAATCCATTCATGTCCCCTTAGGAGCTCAGTAAGAATTATTAGGACCTCGTATAAACATAAAAACAAACATGTWTTTTGAGTAATAGGAAGTTAAATATATAATTATATGTTTCATTTTAAATAAAATAATAACACTTTAAATCTAGTCCCATGAATAATAACTGGTTTAAAACCAATGCTTCTTTCAGGAGGTTTTGTATATTTGTTTACAAATATAAATTTAGCAGAGCTTCAACAAGATGAGTAGTGACAGTGCATTTCTTAACCAGTAAAAACWGTAAAAACTCCTGTATTGACCTTTTTACAGTTACATGTAAAATCAGGCACCACATGCTCAAATACTTTTACGTGTACTTCCAGTATTCAAGGTCGACGTTCAGCTCTAGTCTGTTGGTCCTCTATGCCTGACSAAATCAATAAACCCTGAAGGGAGCACTCTTTGGTTATCATAGTGTATAATGTAAATACTCTCCTTATCAATGCARTGTCAGTGTACTCAAGTTTTCAGCAAACCCAGGAAACATTTAAACATTAACCAGCTGGTGTTTAACCCTGTCAGAGGTCATCATTAGATTGATTTCCTCAAGTTTTACTGTATACCACCGCCTCTAGATTAATCTTAGAAGTCACACACAGCTTTGTTTTTACTTATCTTTCACGAGACTTCAAAAAAACAGAAGTAGGGGGCATGACGGACACGTGCTTTTTTGTCTCTATTTCAGGTTTATTTTTTGGAAGAAGCAAATATATTCAGATCTTGCTCTTCAGGAATTTGCTGATGGTGGCATTTCCCTGATGATACATCAGAAGTGTATTTTAACTACTGGTTACGCAAAAACAGAAACATAAATTTTTCCATCATTTCAGAAGACATGATATTGATTTTTTTTTTAACCAATAGTGTACAGTTATGGTATAACACGGWGGAAAAATTAGGTTCTACCAACTAGAATAAACATGCCTCTGTTTTTCCACTCTGGACCTTCAGTTATATAACCCAATCTATACAGATGACGCAGATCTGATTCCAAAGGTTTGGTCAGTAATCAGGCAAAATGTTGGTGTTTCTCAATCTTTAGGGCCTTTTAAAACTGCATGGTTATATGCTGGCATAATGTTCACTGTTTTAAACGGATCCATGGTTAGTTGTAACATTAGACTTTATTTGATAAACATATATTTTAACTGTAAAATAAAGACTGTAAAAATACTGTAGGCTGTTTAGTTTTTATAAATTTTTAACTAAATTTTAAAAATATATTACATATGAATGGGGCCATTTTATTTACATGCAAAGCATTCTGGGTAAATGATGACGTGGATAGGTCCTCGGTGTGAGCGAGCTATATTCACCCTGAAGGTTAATCTTGAACAATAACTGACGATTGACTCTTTTAAATGAAACCAGAGAGCGTTGACAGAGAGGAGAAGGTAGAAATGACTCAGCCTGTAACTGAAAATATGGATGGAGGACAACAGAGCTGCTTTGTTTTGTAAAGTAAAATTATTAAAATTTTATCTTGCAGATTATTTATAAGGCTCATAAAATTGTTTTACCTTTAAACATCCAGTTACACTTTGTTAAGAGAGAAAGTTCTTATTTAAAGGACTTGAGATGTTTATTAAACCTAAAATTCGAACAAACTTGTACTTCGATGTACTTACGTTCAAGGAATAAAATTGTGAAATAATCTGGAAAGTGTTTATGAAAAATGCCGGTTCAATGCATGTCTTTAAGAGAATGATAAAAATAAGTTTGTTAAAGAAATATGAAATTGAATAATGTATATCAAAAGTTGTTGTTTGAGATGGAATTGAAGCTTTTATTTTGTTTAGTTTCTTGATTATTATTTGAAATTAATTATGGAAAAAGGGGGCAGATATAAGATTTTTTCACCATGTACAGCATGTATAAGTATTAGCTCAGTGCTACACATTCTCCTCTCATCACTGAGGTCCTCCGTCCACATGACAGAGAGGGGAACGCAAAAATGACTCGGCTGCAACTGAATATTTGGATGGAGGACCTCAGTTTAGCTTGTTAGTTTGTTGCGCTAGCGCTGAGCTAATACATATAAGGCAATATAGCATTGGCGCTAGCACAAAGGCTAACAGGCTAAGCTGAGGTTCTTCTTCCATGAAGCAGCTCTGTTGTCCTCCATCCACATTTTCAGTTACAGGCTGAGTCATTTCTACCTTCTCCTCTCTGTCAACGCTCTCTGGTTTCATTTAAGAGTCGATCATCAGATATTGTCCAAGATTAACCTTCAGGGTGGATATAGCTCACTCACACCGAGGATCTATCCACGTCATCATTTACCCAGAATGCTTTGAGTGTAAATAAAATGGCCCCGTCTGTTAAAATATATATATTTTTAATTATAAAACCTAAACATCCTACAGTATTTTTAGTCTTTATTTTACAGTTAAAATATACATTTGTCAAATAAGTTCTAATGTTACAACTAATTGTGGATCCCTTTAAGAGAAATATCCAGATCCAGTGGTTGTAGAAGCAGTGGATCCATTTAGCTTTCAATCAGCAATATTGATGGTGGAGTTCATTTTCAAAAATGAACTTTTGGGATTTAGGTTGTCGGCACTTAAGGTATTAGATATGTATACATGTAGATATTTCACTGTCASTGTTTCCTGTCCTTGATGGTTTTAAACAGTAGACGCAAGATAATGTGCTTTTTTGTGTTTGTTTTTACTTTTTTGAACAGTAGTTGTGGTTTCTCCTTCAATGGAAAAAATAAATCTTATTTAACCTATAGTGGCACAGATTTGTCCTGAAAGAGAAGTCATGTGTTGTAAAACATTTGCATATGTTTTCGTTTCAAGGGTACATGAACACACAAGGACATGCCTGTGTCCAAGCTCAGTTTTAGGAAGTAGGTAAAAGCTTGTTGGCACGCCAAGAAAGTTGTGTCTTGTGATGGAGAGATCATGGAGAGATCATGGGACAAAAGTGAAATCTGCGGTTGCAGAAGTGGTATGATGGTATGGCTTCTAGTTGTATTTTATAAAAACCCTCAGGTACTCTGGTTTCCTCCCACAGACCAAAAACAAGCACATTATTAGTTTAATTGGTAACTCTGAATGGTCCGTTGGTGTGGTTGGGAGCGTCCCTTCAATCCTACATTCCAGCTTTTATTGCTGATATTTCCATGTCCTACCTTTTTATAAAAACAGTTTTCAGGTCAAAGTTTATCACAAAGTTTAATTTTTCTTGTACTGATGGGAATAAAATGCATAAAAATATTTGTCCTGAGATCTGTGAAAGGCTTGGCCTTGTAGTRAACCCACTGTTTTTTTCATCAATTAGATGAAGACTGAAATATTCTTCATGTAAAGTGATTTTCACTTCTTCAGAAAGGACTTCATGTCGCCTTTTATGAACATGTAGTTTCTATATGTTGCTCAACTCGCCCACACACTCTTTATTCTCAGAATCATGCTCATTCATGTTCTGTACCTCCTGTGTTTTTGATTTATTTCTTATTTATTTGATATATTTTTGCATTTTAAAACTCGGCTGGTTTTACTTTTGCAATAAAAGCTTTATTAAGACGTGTCGTGGGTTTAGAGCTGATGCTTGAAAATGATACATTTGGAATCTAATTAGACATTTCCCCTTCTTAACCAATTCAAATTTAATTTGAACATTTACACATTGCACTTCACCTTTATAAGACAATTAGCATTTAAAATAGTGGGATATACACAGTGATCTTCATGTCTTAATTAAAAATAAAGTTAAAGCAGAGTCAGATCTTTTTATCAGTGAAATCTGAATGACTTGAAAGGTTTACAGAATAGTTGATTAATACAAATAAGCCAAGAAGTCATTAATGAGAGCCTGTTGTTGCAAGGCGTAGGCTTATTAGGTTCTACAACTGATTAATATTTTGATTTATCCCCATTCAAGATGTTGATCTTGTTTGTTTTTGCAGAAACTGACTCCACATTTATGAAGGTAGTAGCTGAGACTGATCTTCAACTCTTTTTCTAACATGAAAATATCACAACTTCGCTGTTTAAAAATGTTGCCATTTACTGTTTGGAGTTGGTGTTCTTTATTTGTGTTCTTGGTTTTCATTGTCTTAAAGCAAAATTTGTGTCAAAAGTTATGTATCCTCTTGAGAAGCTGCTAACTTTGAGTTACTGCAGCATCCTTTATCGGTGTTTCTGTCCTCACACGAACCTGACTTTAACCTAACGGGTCTGCCTCCACGCAGCACTCCAAGTCATTTTCTCCTGTGAGTCACGTGACATCTTGCCAAATCTAGAGTACTCAGTTCCCGCTTGGTCTACATGTGGAACACGCGTCTCTGTTGCTTCATCATTTGGCTTGACAGGAATGCAGTAGTGTTTTTTTTACAGCTACCAGCAGCTGGAGGCCAGTTTTTTTTCTCTGCTGCTGAGTAGTGAGTGGTTGAGGTCGCAAGAAAAACATTGGGCAAGGAAAGGAGGGAGGGGTTAGTGAGCTAGGGAAGAGGAAGAGGAAGAGTTGGTCTATATAAAGAAAAACCTTCACAGAGGAKTAGGAAACGTGGAGACCCTCTGAGTTTTGCAGCTAACAGTAAGAAACTTTGTAAAAAGTGCTCTTTTTTAAGGATATTTTTTGTGCATATTTGTGGGTTTTCATCTATTTTGCTTCTGTTAAAATGTTTAGCTACATCTGTTTAACCTGTTCCATCTCATGTCTCCTACAGGTCTGCTGTATGTTAATGAATGAGCAATGTTTTCACTGTTTTCTTTCAGATCTTAATACTCTARGAATACTTTAAGCCTTTTCTCCTATTTGTTTTCTTTTTAAAGGAGTCGAAGGAAGTCTGGAGACCGAAGYCACTYGTGTGAATGAGTTTGTGTTCGTCAATGCAGGTGAAGACACAGTGATTGTGGGTTTCCTTCCAGTGTGTGTTTGTGTGCGTGAGTGACGATGGAGAACAAGCTGTCGCTGCGACGCTGCCTCACCTTYGCCACGGGGCTGGTGGAGTGTCTCTGCTTCGCCGGAGCTGTTTTCGGGTGGGCCTCCCTCGTTTTTGTCCTCAAGGAGGACGGMTATTTCAGCTCTCTTTGTGTTAATAGCACAAGCGACAATGTCACATATTTTTTAGGTGAGTATCTTTATTTCTTTGAAGTCTAAACGTGTTACTGCAAAAATGAACAAACCCTTTCTGTCTCTCACTGTCACCCATTCATGCAAACATTCCTCTGGATTTCCTTCTGTCTTTGTTTTCCTGCAGACTGCAGCGCTCAGGATGAACAGTTCTCACTTATCTTCACCATCGCCTCCTTTATGAACAATTTCCTGACACTGCCCAATGGTTTCATCTTTGATTTCTTCGGTACAACAGTGACTCGCCTCTATGGGATGTGAGTAGAGTCATTGATACAATAACCCTCTTTGATTTCAGAAGCCTTGATCGATTCCTCTTTTGTTTGTTTTTTTGTTTGTTTGGTTGTTGTTGTTTTTTTTTGTTGTTGTTTTTTTGCTTCTGTTAGCTTCACATGATGATGATCAGTAGATCTTCAGGCTTTTGGAAGATTTTTGAACTTTATTTTTTCAGACATTGCTTCTTGTTCAGTCCCGAGCCTGGTGAGAGGACAGATTTTTGTTTCTTTGTTAAGCAATCTGTTTTCACTTGTTCTGTTTTTATAACGACGTGTCTTCAGATGTATTAATCATCTGCTGGAGGTTTATTTTAGGCCCGGTACTTCATTTTTCCACCACTTTCTTCATTTGTAGGCACAACTTGCTGTCCTAAACAAAACGAGTAAAAACACCGTTCGTACGCACAGATTTGTTCTTAAGTTGTGCGTACGAGTGATTTAGGAGAATTTGTGGCATTCACCAATGTTTTCGTATTCTAAGATTTTTTTTCAGATACAAACAAAATTTACGAGTGGTTCAGACCTGTCGTATATTTTACGAGCAGTCAGTCTGCTGTTATCCAGACTGATTTTCTTCACTAATAACTTTATATTTCATTAGTTTGAAGATATTTTGAGTTGAAAATAAATCACACTCTATAATTATGTTGACAATAGGCTATTCTGCTTGAATTAGAGTTATAATTTTAAATGTAATAATTTAGATTAACAATATAAATTGTCCGTTCGTCCGTTTTCCGACGCTTATCCGGGATCAGGTCTCGGTGGCAGCAGCAAAGAGACCCCCTCTCCGCAGCGACACCTTCCAGCTCGTCCTGGGGGACTCAAGACATTCCCAGGCCAGAGGGGATATATGATCAAGTCCTGGATTTTCTCCAAAGTGCCAGACATATTTTGAAAACATTTTAAAATGCTTATTTCAAACCCGCATCTGCGACCGCGCAGCGCGCGCGCGAATTGGGGGGGGTGTGTACAGTGCGCAGCGCTGTGTCTTCTGAATAAATGAAAATGATTTAACACAGTTGTTTATACTTTTAGCAGCTCTTTTTATCCCACAGCTGAGCTGCTAAAAATGACAGATTTTCTTTTCTGGATCTCTGACAGACGGACTTCAATCTCTGAACTCGTAAAGTTTTTATTTTTTTAGTTTTTGCTGTCATTTTTCATGAATGAACACTTGTATCTGAGGCAGGAAACATAGCCTTATATGGTGTTTTTGGGGTGGTAATTATGCTAATCTCCTCTCGCGTGCACGAGCAGCTGGATACGAACAGGTGGAAWTTACGCAGCTCATTTACRCACTTTTCCTGAAGATAGAAGAGTTTGTTGAATCTGACGTGRCATGTTCGTACGAACCCTTTGTACGAACAAAAGTAAGAGAAATTTAGGATAAGAATACGAACATGTTCTTGCATGAGGCCCAATCTGCCAAAATACAAAGACAAATTCTATTGATCAAGACTACTTTTTAAGAAAAAAAATTTTTTTTTTCTGGCATTAAGCTATTCTCACTGGGCCATCTATTGGCAACTRCTTGGCCAACAATGTTTGTAAGGGCATTTCCAAAATGTTTCAGAATGTTGGCAAGGGTTAATGTCCTCATATGWGTTTCATCTCAGTTTTGTTATGAGCGTCTTCACTTTGTCAACAAGGCTGTTTTTGTTATCTGCTTGGGAGCTCTTCTCTGACAAAAAAAAACCAAAACAAAACAACTGAGACTARTCTGTGCGGCTAAAACCATGCTGATGAGAAAGATTAGACATTATCTTCGTTTGTTTATGAAGACAAATTAGAATCCTAAAAGCTAAATTTTAATTTGCCTATATGCAGGGTTGCACATAAAATGTTTGGTCTGGTTCTCAAGGGAGAACCTAGGGTTGTTGCTTGGTGCTCATATTTTCCTTCACTCATTTAACACATTTATCTAGAGGGGTGTCAGGACATCTAACATCCCCCTGTTCTGTTTTATGACTCCTTCAGCTGCAACGTCTCAGGACATCATGCCAAATCAGTCCAGGAGTGTTTTTATTTTATTTTTTTTACTCTGCATAAATTTTGTWAACTACCTAAGTGGCCGAGGGGCTGGGTGTATGTCATATAAACATYACAAACTGAATATTTTATGGTTAAATGTCTTTTAGACTACACATGTCCCTCAGATGGACAACTCCTGTAGTTTGCCCTTCTGGATTTTTGGTCTTGGTTAAACCAGCTTTCCAGACTCTCCAGACCAAGCAGCAAATATCTGTCTTTCACACAGAGCAAAATAACTTAAAACATACAGATG